TTTGGCTTCAACACAAATTTCACATTTTTTTTGTGTGATTCAATTTTAGAATTAGGAATTAATTCTAAGTTCATCAACTGTTTAATTGCATTTAGATTCACATGTCCTAATCTAATATTCCATAAATCAGAACACTCCACGATATAAACAGAAGTACGATTTTCATTATCATTGGAAATGGTTACACGGCTCACAGCCATTACATTCATTTTAAATAAGCCATTGTCGAGATAGCCACGACCTAGGAACTTACCATACTTGCTAAGAATAAACTTCTTAGCTTCAAACACTAACTTAAAACCAGCTCTACAAGAAGAGATCCGGAGACCAAATTCTAGCGGATGTCTGGGACATGCAGCACATCCTTAAGCTTCAACTCCTTTCCAGAAGTCAGCTTCAGCACCACGATGCCAACTCCACCCACATCAGACGAGGAGGAGTTGCCCATGTGGAGCTTCCGACCATTTGAAGGAGTGTATTCAGAAAACAACCCCCTGTCGGAACACACGTGGCGAGTGGCACCAGTATCAATGTACCACGCCCTTGGGTTATCCACCAAATTGGCTTCAAACACCACAGTCGACATATCCATGTCGGTTAGTTCACTCGGCACAAGGCCGTGTTCAGCAATGAGGGCACCATGTTGTGCCTTCTTCAGACCAGCCTTTTTAGGCTTCCTGCAGTCCTTAGCCATATGGTTCGGCTTTCCACAGTTGTGGCAATTACCGGTAAATTTCCACACTTTGGCAGGCTGCTGCTTCCCTTTGTTAAGGGGCTTCCTCTTGCTCGAGTTGCCTTGCTCCATCAAGTTGGCACGAGCTTCCATCATCGGGGCCTTTCCCGAAGACTTCCGATTGTCCTCTTCAATCCGAAGACGAACAACCAGATCTTCAAGACTCATCTCCTTCCTCTTGTGCTTGAGGTAGTTCTTGAAGTCTTTCCAACCCGGCAGCAGTTTCTGGATCACAGCCGCAACTTGGAATGACTCGCTCAGAGACATTCCTTCAGCATGAATGTCGTGCAAGATGAGTTGGAACTCTTGCACTTGAGACACGACGGTCTTAGTGTCGACCATCTTGATGTCCAGAAATTTGCCGACGACGAATTTCTTCGCCCCAGCATCCTCAGTTTTGTATTT